AGGGAGGGAGAAGGTCAGAGTCAGAGGTAGGGTTGAGGGATGAGGAGGGAGGGTGGAGGGCGAATTCGAAGGTTGAGGGAGGGAGGAGGGAGGGAGTCAGAGGTAGGGTTGAAGGAGGTCAGAGGTCAGCAGTCAAGATCTTGGATGAGGGAGGTCAGATGCCACAGTCGAGTGCAGGGAAGGTTAAGGGAGGGTGGAGGGCGAATTCGAAGGTAAGGTTGAGGGAGGGAGAAGGTCAGAGTCGGAGGTAAGGTTGAAGGAGGTCAGAGGTCAGAGTCGGAGGGAGGGAGAAGGTCAGAGTCAGAGGTAGGGTTGAGGGATGGAGGAGGGAGGGTGGAGGGCGAATTCGAAGGTTGAGGGAGGGAGGAGGGAGGAGTCAGAGGTAGGGTTGAAGGAGGTCAGAGGTCAGAGTCAAGATCTTGGATGAGGGAGGTCAGATGCCACAGTCGAGTGCAGGGAAGGTTAAGGGAGGGTGGAGGGCGAATTCGAAGGGAAGGTTGAGGGAGGGAGAAGGTCAGAGTCGGAGGTAAGGTTGAAGGAGGTCAGGTCAGAGTCGGAGGGAGGGAGAAGGTCAGAGTCAGAGGTAGGGTTGAGGGATGGAGGAGGGAGGGTGGAGGGCGAATTCGAAGGTTGAGGGAGGGAGGAGGGAGGAAGTCAGAGGTAGGGTTGAAGAGGTCAGAGGTCAGAGTCAAGATCTTGGATGAGGGAGGTCAGATGCCACAGTCGAGTGCAGGGAAGGTTAAGGGAGAGTGGAGGGCGAATTCGAAGGTAAGGTTGAGGGAGGGAGGAGGTCAGAGTTGAAGGTGAGTCGGAAGGTAGGATTGGGGGAGGGTGGAGGGCGAGTTCGAAGGGAAGGTTGAGGGAGGGAGGAGTCGAGTGCAGGTTAAGGTAGGTCAGAAGTCAGATTCGAAGGGAAGGTTGAAGGAGGATGGAGGTCAGACTCGAAGGGAAAGTTAAGGTAGGTCAGAGGTCAAACTCGGAGGTAGGGTGGGGGAGGGGAGAGGGCGAGTTTCGAAGGGAAGGTTGAGGGAGGGAGGAGTCGAGTGCAGGTTAAGGTAGGTCAGAGGTGAGACTCGAAGGCGAGGTTGAGGTAGGTCAGAGGTCAGAGTCGAAGGGAAAGTTAAGGTAGGTCAGAGGTCAAACTCGGAGGTAGGGTGGGGGAGGGTGGGAGGGCGAGTTCGAAGGGAAGGTTGAGGGATTGAGGAGTCGAGTGCAGCTTAAGGTAGGTCAGAGGTGAGACTCGAAGGCGAGGTTGAGGTAGGTCAGAGGTCAGTCGAGTGTAGGTTAAGGTAGGTCAGAGGTCAGAGTCGAGGGCTTGGTGGTGGGAGGGTGGAGGTCGAATTCGAAGGTTGAGGGAGGGAGGAGGAGGTCAGACTCGAATGCAAGGTTAAGGGAGGGAGATGTGTTGCTGTCAGTCTGTTGACGTAATATGTGAGGGTCGTAGCCTGAGAAGTTGGAGAACCCTTGGATTTGAGGACTGAAGCCTGATTAAATTTTCTCTTTTCCTCCCCCCCTCTCCGAATACTTCCTTCCCTCTCTCCACCTTCTCCTTTTCTCTCTCTCACTTACTCTCCCTCGCCCCTCTCTTTCACTCTCACATACCCTCCATCCTTTTTCACTTCCTCCATCACCCCACCCACCACTCCCCCCCCCTCTCTCTCTCTCTCTCTCTCCCTCTCTCTCTCTCTCTCTCTCTCTCTCTCTCTCTCTCTCTCTCTCTCTCTCTCTCTCTCTCTCTTCTCTCTCTCTCTCTCTCCTCTCTCTCTTCTCTCTCTTCCGCTCTTTCTTTCCCTTTTCATCATCATACTCCTCTCTTTCTTACTCTCCATCTCTCCTTCACTCCTTCCCTCCTCCCCCCCTCCTATGCTCCATCTCCTTCCTCTCTCTTCCTTTCACTTCTCCATCTCTCATTTCCTTTCTCTTCTCTCCTCCTTCACACTCCTTTTCTCTCTCCTCCTCCCCTCCTCCCTCCCTCTTCCTCCATCTCTCCTCCTTCTCCCTTCCCCTACGCCCCTCCCTCCTCCCTCCTTTTCTTCGGCGCGCCCTCCCATCTCCTCCATTCCTCATCTCCCATTCCTTTCCCCTCCCCCTCCTATCTTCCCCTCCATCTCCTTCTCCTTCCCCTCACCATCTCTCCTTCCATTTTTTTCTGTTCCTTCCCCTCCCTCCCCTCCCTTCTCTCCCATCCCTCCCTCCTTCCCCCTCCCGCCCATCCACTTCTCCACGTCCACGTCCACTCACAGGGCCCGCCCACTTCTCCCCGCCCACTCCAACTACTCACGCCCACCCACGCTGCATAAAACCACGTCCGCTCCACTTCTCCCACGCCCACCCACTTACTCCCCCGCCCCACCCACTGCACCACGCCCGCCCACTTCTCCCGCGCCCACCCACCACTCCACGCCCACCCCCTTGCAGAACACACCTCGAAGAACGGGAAGCGGCAGACAACGGAGTGAACACGCCCACAAGAGGTTGGTGGAGCTGATCGGGTCGTGACCTCGTCTCTCAGCCTGGGTGACCTCGACCCGAAGGATGCGCAGGAGAAGTTGTCGTCGAGGTTGGCTGAGCTCGTTGGGCAGGTTGAGGGAGCGAGAGAGAGAGAGAGAGAGAGAGAGAGAAGAGGAGAGACGAGAGAGAGAGAGAGAGAGATTAAAGCGGGGGGAGAGGAGGGAGAGGAGAGAGAGAGGAGAGAGAGAGGAGAGAGAGAGATGAGAGAGAGAGGAGAGAGAGGAGAGAGAGAGAGAGAGAGATGAGAGAGGAGGAAAAATGTGTGTCTGTGGGTATGTGTGTATGTTTTATGTGTGAATGGGTGGTTGGGTTTGTTTGTGTGTGTTGATGTATGTGTTAGTGTATGGATGTGTTTGTTTGTGTGTATGGATGTGTTTGTTTGTGTGTGGATGTGTTTGTTTGTGTGTGTGCATGTGTATGTTTGTGTTTCTGTGTGTACGTGTATGGATGTGGATGTGTTTGGTTATGTGTGTGTATGTGTGCGGTGTGGATGTGTGTGTGTTTGTGTGTGTGTGTGTGTGTGATTGTGTGTTATGTTTTGTGTGTTGTAATATTAGCAGGTGATACTTTTTTAGTTGATATAATTTCATATTAATTTTGTATCCATTTGTATCCAGTGTTTTCTTTTTCTTCCTCTCTGTGCGACAGTTTTTCTGAATGGTGGTAATTTATATTAAATTTTTTTAATTCCCTTTATTCAGAGCTGATTAGCAACCATTCGCACAGAAAAGGAAAAAAATATCAATCAACCTTTAAGTATATATTATCAATTAACGTATTTTTCCGATAACAATTAATTCAAGGGTCATTGTAATTCCCATAAACTTACTTCATTAATTACTATATTCATTACAAATTTACAAGTGTTCTTCCCACAAACGTATTCAGTACATTTTTGTTCCCTCATGTAATTTGTAATTTTGTTCATTTTCCACATTTCAACCTCCAAAACAACAATAAATATTTTTTCCCCATAAACTCAGTCACTCTTGTCTCACGGTTCATTAATCCATATCTTTCCACACAATAACTTTACTTTTCTCACACCTTATAAATCTCTATTTTCGCAGTCAACTTTTGACATTTTATCAATTTCTATTTAAAAACATTTAACGCACTTTATTAATCTCTATTTAAACACACTATTTCAACACTCTTCCCTTTTTAACATTTAACTAATTCCTGTATTCACACACTTAACAACTCTGTTTCTCCTACACTCCATCAATCCCTTTTCCCACTCTTTCTCCACTTCCTCCCTCCACTAGAATGGGCTCCACACCCCATCAGTCCCTTTCCCCACTCACTCTCCCCTTCCGCTCTCCACTCAGGATAGACTCCACACTCCTTCACTCCCTTTTCCCACTTACTCTCCCCTTCCGCTCTCCACTCAGGATAGACTCCACACTTCTTCACTCCCTTTTCCCTCCCAGTATCCCCTTCCTCCCTCCACCAGGACGTACTCCACACTCCTTCACTCCCTTTTCCCACTCACTCCCCACTTCCTCCCTCCACTAGAGATGGAGCTCCACACCCTTCACTCCCCCTTTTCCCACTCACTCCCACTTCCTCCCTCCACCAGGATGGACTCCACACTCCTTCACTCCCCTTTCCCACTCACTCCTCACTTCCTCCCTCCACCAGGGTGGACGTACTCCACACTCCTTCACTCCCCCTTACCACTCACTCCCACTTCCTCCCTCACCAGACGTACTCCCACCTCCTTCTCCCCCTTTCCCACTCACTCCCCACTTTCCTCCCCCATCCAACCAGGACGTACTCCACACTCCTTCACTCCCCCTTTCCCACTCACTCCCCACTTCCTCCCTCCACCAGGAACACTCCACACTCCTTCACTTCCCCTTTTCCACTCACTCTCCACTTCCTCCCTCCACCAGGACGTACTTCACTCCACACTCCTCTCTTTTCCTCCCCCTTTCCCCACTCACTCCCCACTTCCTCCCTCCACCAGGACGTACTCCACACTCCTTCACTCCTTCTCCCCCTTTCCCACTCACTCCCACTTCCTCCCCTCCACCAGGGACGTACTCCACACTCCTTCACTCCACCTTTCCCACTCACCCCCACTTCCTCCCTCCACCAGGATGACTCCACACTCTCACTCCCCTTTTCCCACTCACTCTCCCCTTCCTCCCTCCACCAGGACGTACTCCACACTCCTTCACTCCACCTTTCCATCACTCACCCCCCTTTCTCCCTCCACCAGGATGGACTCCACACTCCTTCACTCCCCCCTTTTCCCACTCACTCCCCCCTTCCTCCCTCCACCAGGACGTACTCCACACTCCTTCACTCCCTTTTCCCACTCACTCTCCCCCTCCTCCCTCCACTAGAATGGACTCCCACACTCCTTCACTCCCGCTTTTCCCACTCACTCCCCACTTCCTTCCTCCACTAGAATGGACTCCACATTCCTTTACTCCCCCTTTTCCCACTCACTCCCCACTTCCTCCCTCCACCAGCAGGACGTACTCTACACTCCTTCACTCCCTTTCCCACTCACTCCCCACTTCCTCCCTCCACCAGGAATGCGCGAGACTTCGAAGCCAAACGCTTCAGCTGGACGAGTCGCTTCAGCTGGCCGAGGGCGAAGCGGGCTCGGCGAGACAGACCGTTTCGCGACTCGTAAACGAACTGGACGACGAGAAGAGGACGGTCGAGGAGCAGAAACTCGCCCTTACGGAATTCAGGAAGGTGAGAGGGGGTTGTTTAGTCTTGTGTTGTCTCTCGGCGGTCGATACGGTCGGGAATCCCGTCACGATGGGAAGGAAGAGGATGTGTTAATTAATGGATTTTTATGAATGGGTTTTATCAGTCATTCAGGTCTGATTTTTCACAAAGGCTTTTCATATATAATATATATATATAATATATATATATATATATATATATATATATATATATATATTATATATATATATATATATATTATATATTATATATATATAATTGGATAATTGTCTAAAGTCAAATACGCTGCATTTATCAGTAGACAATCCTGTACAAACCTCACACAAATGAACAAACTCATGAACACGTCAATAATTCCCAAACCAAAAACACACCGAAGACCGCAATAAAGACGAAAATCCCTCCACAAAACCAGGAGAACGACGACCTGAGGACCCGACTGCGAGCCCTGGAGGAGGAGGTGAAGAGCGTGCGGGAGAGACTCCACAACACCAACAAGTCCTACAACGCGACCCTGGAGGAACTGCACGCGGCCGAGAAGCAACTGCAGCAGGCAAGGGTGAGGGGGAGCTGCTGGGAAGGGTGGGGTCGGGGCGGGTGGTCTTTGGTTGTGTTTGTGTTTAAGGGTGTGTGTTTTTGTGTTATCTTGTGTGTGTGTGTGTGTGTGTTTTGTGTGTTTTTGGTTGTGTGTATTTTAGGGTGTGTTTTTGCTTGTGTGTGTTATGCGTGTGTGTGTTTTTTTGCTTGTATTTGTGTTTTTGCTTGTGTTGTGTGTTTATTTTGTTGAGTGTTTTGCTTGTGTGTGATTTTTTAGAATGTGTTTTTGCTTGTTTGTGTTATGCTTGTGTTTTTAATGCATGTTTTTGTTTGTGTGCGTTTTTTGCTTGTGCGTGTGGTTTTAGTGGGCGTGGGCGTGTTTTCGTATATCAAGTTGATGTTCTTGTTTTTTGTGTCTTTCCTCGAAATTATATATTTTTCAGTGTGTATTTTTCTTTTTTTTTTTTTTTTTTGTATCAACTTGTTGTTTTCTGGTGTATTGTTATCCCTTATCATTCCCTTTTTTCCCCACCCCTTTCCCTCTCTTCTTTGCATCCTTTATCCCATCCTTTGCTCTTTACGTCTCACCCCCCCATCCTTCTTCTCTCCTCCTTTCCCTCATCTTCCACTTCCCTCATCCTCCTACCCCTTTTCCACCACCTTCCCCTCATCCCGCCCTCCTTCCTTCCTCCCCACCATCCCTTCCCCTCATCCTCTTACCCCTTTTCCACTCCTTCCTCTCATTCCTTCCTTCCTCCTCCCTTCCCCATCCCTTACCCCTTTTCCTCCCCCTTCCCCTCATCCCCCTCCTTATCCTCCTCCCCTCATCCTCTCACCCCTTCTCCAACCTCCTCTTCCCTCCTGCAGACGAATCCGTGGTATCCGACCACCGCCGTCAGCAGAGCGAGGTCGAGAGCCGTGGTTTCCTGACGACGGTGGCCGCCCTTCTGTCGACCCCCGAGCAGCGCGTGGCTCCCGACGTCCAGGCCATCAATGACAGGATTCAGGGGCTCGTGGCAGCCAATAGGGAGGCGGCGGAGGTGAGGGGCTACGGGAATAATTCAAATTAATAAATTCGTAACCTACGGAGGCAGTGGAAGTGTATAGGTAAAGTAAATAAGTGCGTAACCTACGGAGGCAGTGGATATGAATTATTAAAGTAAATAAGTTCACAGTCCACGAAGGCAGCGGAGGTGTATAATTAAAGTAAATAAGTGCGGAACCCACTGAGGCGGCGGAAGTGAGGGGCTACGTGAATAATTGAAATAAATAAGTACGTAACCTGTGGAGGCAGCGGAGATGAATTATTAAAATAAATAAGTTAACCCACGCAGGCGGCGGAGGTGAGGGCTACGTGAATAATAAAAATAAATGTCAGTAGCCCACGGAGGCGGAGGTGAGGGCTATGTGAATAATTAATATATATGAGATAAATGAGTACGTAATCCACGAAGGCGGCAGAAGTGAGGGGCTACGTGAGTAATAAAAGTTCCCTTACGTAGTACGAGCTACGTACTTAATGAATATTGTTACTTATCAGTTTCGTTCGCATTTTTTTTCTACGTTTAGGTTTGTCATATTATCAACACCTCAACATCGATTTTTGTGCCAATTGTCATATTGTCATTGACTTCATTCCAATCTAACCCATATTTATCTCCCTTTCCGTGTCATTATTGACTTAATTCCAACTCACCTACTTTTTTCTTTTATACCTCGTATCCCACTAACCAAACCACGCCCACGCCGCCCACAGCACATCGAGCGCCTAACCTCGCAAGTGACGAGTCTGGGCGAGCAGTCGAGGCGCCAATCCGAACTCTACGAGACGGCAGTGAAGCGCGGGCGGCAGTGCGAGGCGGAGGTGCACGCGCTCACCCACAGAGGGCGGCAGCTGGAGGCCGATGCGCAGACGGCGGAGGCTGCGAGGGAGCACGTGGTCATCGAGAAAGAGAAGGTTGTATGATAAGTGGGGTGGAGGTGAGGGTGGAGGCGGGGGAGGTTGAGGTGGGCAAGGGGGAGGTTGGGTGGAGGCGAGAGGGAGGTTTAAGGGTGGGCAAGGGGGTGAAGGTTGGACAAGGAGGAGGTTGGGTGGAGGTAGGGTAAGGGGGAGGTTAGGTGGAGGCGGGAGGAAAGTTGAGGGTGAGCATTGGGAAGGTTAGGGGTGGGGGTTGAGGAAGAAGGTAAGGTAAGGGGGGCCAGGAGTGAGGTTGGGTGGGTTGGAGGTAGGGTTGAGGGAGGTTAAAGGCATTGGGGAAGTTAGGGAAGAGGGAGGGGCAGGGTAGTGAGGTTGGGGCAGGTGAAAGGAGGAATGTAGAGGGGTAGGGATTGAGGGAGGAATGGAGGTTAAGGTAGGAAAGGGAGAATGAGGCATTGGGGATTTTGGGAGTGAGGTTGGGGTGAAGGTTGGGTGGGGTGGAGGTGGAAGGGGGGTTGAGGGCACTGGAGAGGTTGGGGTAAAGCGATTTAAGGAGTTTGGGGCAAAGGGAATTGGGGAGTGGAGGGTAAAATTGATGAAATATTTACGTAAAGGAGGTTGATGAAATATTCACCTAACTCTTGCTAAACCCCATGCCCAAACAGTATAGCCATAACATGAAAGCCGAAGTAACCTCTAAACTAAAAAAGAAAAAGAAAAAAAAGAACTACGAATATCATCAAGCTCATTTGACCTCGGTTAACCTCAACTCCCTTTGCCACTCTGACCCTATCTTAAGAGCCAATACAAAAATCAATACGAATAAAATTATATATAAAACTAACACCATCCATATCAGCTACACCTACTCTCATTTAACCTCCCCTGACCTCGACTGACCTATTTCCAGACCGAACGGCTCTTGAACCGTGTCGTCGAGGCTCTGGGGCTGACGGAGATGGGTCAAGAGGTCACCAATGACGTCGAGATGATCATTTGCCGATGTCAACAGCTGGCCAAGCTTGAAGGAGAGAAGATAGTGGACAAAGTACGGAGAGATTTCGGTTAAGTTGGATTTTAAGGGATGGACTTCCATTTTAAGTCGTTTGGTTGACTTTGAATTTGGTGAAAATCTAAAAAAAAATAGCATTTTTCTTGTTGATTTTTTTTTCTCGGAGTTTGGGATACGTTTTTTTTCTAATTTTTTTCTTTGTTAAGAAATATAAATGACAAAAAGAGACACAAAAATAGTATTATTTCTTGTATCGTTTTTTAAAATAAATTTGGGGATATGCCTTCTTTCTAATATTTCTTTTCTTTGTTACAAACATATAAATAACAAAAAAATACACTTTTCATGTTAATCTCTATATACTATTTTTTGTTACTGAATATATATTCTGATATACATACTCCTTTATTATATTTTCTTTCGATCAATGATATTGCATCGACATAAGGTTTCGTAATTATAAATAAAGAGAAACATTTGATTCACTCTAACGTGTATGACGGCACAACCCATTAAAGTATTGTATATTTAAATGTAAAAGCATTATATATTTAAATGCCCAGAGAGAGAATGAAATCAGTTGACCACACAACCTAATAATGGCTGTTGAACCACAAAGCTGATGTATATTCTGACTAGACAATATGTGGTCAAGTGGTTTGGCTCTGTACTCTCTGGGTGGTCCTCTGAGAGAGTGATTTCTTCGTCTGTGAGGGTTACCTTTCACCCAAATAACTACCTCCTCCTCACGATAATATTGTGTATGATGGAGTAATTCAGTAGCGTCTTTTGTATTGAAATGTAAGTACCCTTCTTGGTACAAGCTCGAAGACACTCCAGCAGATACCTTTTATGCGGCTGTGTTTTCTCTGAGTGTAACCTGGAGAATATGAATTCGAGTCTTTATCCAGGAGGGTAATTATTTTTCTCTTAAATGGCTTTTTGTGTAGTATTAATCGTTTTGGGTTGTTGAAACAGCAGAGGTATGACCCTAGCCAGAGAAGGTTAACTTTCACCCAAACATCTTTTAGTGCAGTGCTGATCATTCTGGGTCCTATCTGAAGTGGCGGAGGTTCGAGTCCTTATCAGGGAGAATAATTACCTTTCACCAACTCAACTTTTAACTGTAGTGTTGATCATTCAGCGTCAGAAGCTAGAGTATGTGTCAGAGAAAGTACGTATTCAATTTTTCACTGTCCCACTTTGCAGACGACCACCGTGTACCAGCTGCAACGGAAGGTTAAGAGTCTCCGGGAGGCAGTTGACCGGAAGGACCTCCACGTGGATATGCTGCGTCGGAAGCTTGCCCTGACGGAGGACGCTGCGAGGGCCTCGAGACACCTGGAGGAGGAGAGAGATGAACTGATTGCCAAGTGGGTTTTCTTTGATTTTTTTTTTCTTGGGGGGGGGGGTGTATTTTGGTTTGGCTTCGATTTTTGTAGGACTGTTTTTTTCACAATTTCAGTTTCTGGTTTCTCTCTCTCTGATGTTCTCTCTTCCTTTTTTATTATTTTGCTGGACCTTTTTCCTTTCTTCCCTTTTTTCTCCTAAACTTTCTTTTCTTTCCTCTTTCACTCCTCTCATCTCTCTATTGTAGTTAACCCATACTATTTTAACTTCGATAATAGTAACTAGAATTTATAACAAAAAGAAGTCAAAGTGAGAACCCAAAGTAATAACATCGTAAACTAAATATATGATTAAACAAATAAGGATAGGAAACAGAAAGCGACTCAAGAACGCTAATTCGCACAACGCAGGTACAAGCGCCAATGCCGGATGGTCGAGCGACTCAATTCCGAACTGGGCGAAACCCGACTCCAGCTTCGAGACCTTCAGGCGCAACTTGCTGACGCTGCGGAGGAAAAGGTAGGCGCGCGCGCGCACACACCACACACACACACACACACACACACACACACACACACACACACACACACATACATATACATATTCTTTCCTTTTTTTTCTTTTGAAGATCACTGATATTACATCTCTATAGAGTGAGATAATTATGAATAAAAACATGAAACATTTAAATTCAGATTAAATAACCTAGCAATGCATTTTAAATGGAAATGCATACATTAATTCGAAAAATATATTTTCCTCTCTCTAGGGTCGCTCGACGCAACAGCAGAAGAAAGTGGAAGAATTAACGGCGAAGATTAACGAACTGGACGCAATACGATCACGACAACAAAAGAAAATAACGCAAATGAAGGAACAGGTGAGAGACAGACAGAGAAAGAAAGGAAAATATATAGAGGTAACATATGCATTGTCAACGAGAGACTGTCACAGAACGGTTACACTCCTGTTTAATCGGCTTTTCCTCAAGGACAGTTGTTTGCAAGGTATTTTATAAGTTAATATAAACTTCTATAGACCCCGGGTTCTTCTTTCCGCCCGCTGGAGTGTCAGGTTCATCCAGTCGTGACGAAGGGGTTAAGTACGCAGGATGTGAGAGATTTAGGTACTGAGAGTGGGTTAAATAAGTTCGGAAGTGGAAGGAATGTAAAACAGCTGATCATGTACACTCAGGAGGACTTGCTCAGACAGGAAGCCACAGCCTTTGCACCGGACATATATGTTGCACCACCACCTAGTCATATTGGATGTTATTTGTCATGTATGTTAGGCTGAATTTATTTTTTGAAACTTTATTCATTCAGTTATTTCCATCCATTTCGTTTATTGATATTTACGTAACTTAAGTCTTGTTTTATATATATTAAAATTTTTCTACATTTTTTTCATAGGCCTTCACTCTACTCCTCCCCCCATAATGTAGGCCTAATTTTTATCACTTTGTTATCTAATTATTTTTCCACCTCACATATTAATCATTTTTCTATCATTTATCCCTTCCTTCATTCTACTTCCCATAGAGCATATTCATAGGCCTACTTATTAAGACATTGTTATCACCTCCCTATTGCCTTATTCTATTTCTTTTTATTTAATCGTTATCACCTCCTTTCTTAATTTTCCACACATATTAGCATCTTTATATCCCCTTTATCCTTTCCTTCATTCTACCCCTCCCACTTTTTCCCCCCACAGATCAAAGCCCATGGAGAACACATGCTTGAAGAACGCCGTGTGAACGAAAACAGTCTCGAAGGCATAACACAAGAACTCGCCGTCACCAAGCAAGCAGTGAGAGACCTAACACGCAGAGAGAAGCAGGTACGGAAGGCAGGGCGTAAGCAGGTTTGGATAGGGCTTGTAGGTTAGCAGGTTGGGGTCTTACAGGTAGTTGGGTTAGGGTAAGGTAATCAGTGGAATATTAGGATATGTTGTCAGTGAAGAAAATCTTTGGGTATGGTGGCAGCATGGGATATTCTTCTATTTTTTGAAATTTCAGCCTACGGTATCATGTTCTTACTTACTGTACTTTACTTACTGTAGTGGTATTCTTCCACACATGGTAAACTAGTTTCAGGAAAACCGGCATATACTTTTTTTCCTTTTTCGGAATTTCAGCTTTTTAATATCCTTATTTCCTTCGTCTAAGGATATCCTTCCTATATTAAGGCTTCAGGAATTCCATCGTGAATCACTTCTCACTTTAGGAATTTTAGTCTTCCTCCTCAATAGCTTCAGGAATTCCATTATGAATCACATCTCATTTTAGGAATTTAATGCTTCAGGAATTCTATCAATAAAGTACATCTCACTTTAGGAATTTGAGTCTTCTACACAATTTCAGGAATCCCATAACATATCACTTCTCACTATAAGTTTAATGTTTCAGGAATTCCGTTATAAATCACATCCCATTTTAGGAATTTAATGTTTCAGGAATTCCATAATAAATCACATCCCACTTTGGGAATTGAATTCTTCCTCCACCACAGCTTCAGGAAACCCACTATCATAAATTATATCTCACCTTAGAAATTGAATTCTTTCTCCTCATCAGCTTCAGGAATTTCATCGGAAATCATCTCTCTCTTTAGTAATAAAATACTTGAGGAATCCCATTAAATAAATCTCATTAGGAATTTAATTCTTCCTTTTTCACAGCTTTCGGAATTCCATCAGAATTCACATCACACGTTCAGAATTTCATGCCTTAGGAATTCCACCGAAAATCACATCCCATTTTAGGAATCTCTCTTTTCCTCCACCACAGCTCCAAGAATTTCGTCGGGCTGTGGTGAGTTTACTTGGTCTAGACGGAGATCCTGGAGCCGAGGGAGATTACGAGGCCATCTGTCGGCTGGAGCGTGTCGTCGGCGCCCATCGGGAACTCAACGATCTGTCACGGCGAATCGATGAGATGACGGCGCCTTCGAGACCCAATAGGTGATATGAGGTTTTTCTTTCTTGGTTACTTTTTCATTATTTTTTTTTTTTTTTTTTTTTTCCATTTACACACTGACTCAAGATCTCTAATTCATTTTTCTATTTTCTCTTTCTAATCCAGTTTCTCTTTTTTTTATCACATTTTCCTTCAACTACTGTCTGGAATGGGATGGACACAACTCATCAGATTAGCCATTCTCTATACAACTACTCTATTTACACATCCACACGTCTCTATATTAATATCCCCTTCCCTTTTTTCTTGCAATGAGTATTAGTTCTAGCCAAAGAAACTTAAGGAAGCCTCAGTGGATATGAGACGCAAAGCACTCCCTTTTTCTCCCTTCTCTCTCAGTCGAAACTCATCCCTCAATGGTATCACTTCTGGCTGCCCGAACAGCGCCAGGACACTCGCCAGTCGTTCACCGCCCCTCAGGTCGCCCACACGCCCCTCCTCAGCCGCTCCCCCCTACAGGCTGGATTCGCCACCGAGGTAAGGATGCGTAGAAGGAGAGAGAAGGATCACCCGCGCAGGCTACCGGCGTTCGACCCGCGTTAAGAATTACGGCCTGACCCAATGAATATTCGTATATACAGACACGCATATACTCAGAAATGAGGGCATATCTGGCTCTCTATCAAATAAGTATATATTTATAAATCTATCTATACGGTAGATGCGCATGTCTAGATGGATAGATATGCATTTATTTCTGTGTATATGCGTGTCTGTAAAATTGATGTCCAATGGGTCGGTCCTCGCACAATTTTAACAAACCGGCCGTTAGACCTTATGAATAAGTATAGGAGAGTACAATAGCGGGCGCCCTGGTGGACATGAAGAGACGTCATTTTCCGTTTGTCTTTCTGTATGTCTCTGTCTTTCCTTCTTGGTGTGTGTGTGTGAGTGAGTGTCTATAAATATATATATATTATATGCAAGCTGGTTAACCGCATCCTATGTGAACACCTGCTTTCTGTGTATTCTAATGTCCCAGCCGACGTATTTAGAAAATTAAGCATAAGTAAGCATTAGTTTGCATCTTTACCATTCTCTTATAAGCCAATATATCCGGATTATTAAACCTGTAGTCGACAAGATATTTAAATACAGTAGATATTATTTTCAAGTAGCAACTCAGACAAACGTTTCCTTTGCTTTGACTCAAAAAAAAACGTTTTGGAACATATAACCCTGTCCCTTTCAGCGGCTCGCCACCTCTCGCATGGACCAAGGCTTTCTCGACATGTCGAGGAACTCCGCGCCTTGCTGACGACGCCCACAACCACCGCCCACAAGCCAGACACTCGAGACGCCCGCCCTCCGCCCACGCCCGGACCCCGAGCCCGACGAAACGCCCGTCCACGGATGAGGATGAATATAGCTGAGGCGTTAGAGGATCTAAGAGAAGAAGAAAGAAGAGAGAGAGTAGAAGAAGGAAGAGAGAGAGAGACTTTTGACTTTGACTTTGACACGTTTATTGAGACAAAAAAAAAATACATCTCAAAGGGATGAGGTAACTTGGGGGGGGGGGGGATCAGTGATAGATGTTTAATCGTTTCAGGACGTTTATCGCACGCAGTACAACGCCGGATATGTACACTCATGCACAGAAGACATACATACACGAACGTCTCTGCATTTGTGTGTGTGTGTGTGTGTTATGTGTTGTCCGTGCGCATGCCTGACGATACACAGGAAACTACAAACATCTAGACTACTCCACACGTCACATTTTTTCCTTTTTTTTCTATTGTATCCATATTTCTCTTTTACTCACAGGACGTTGCGTTCGAGTTCATACTCAGAAATAGATATACACACTACTACACATACACCTATTCCATGTATACAAACACAGACAGTTAAAAAAAAAAGTAAATAGATTATTGTAGAATTTTAAAAGGTGGTAAAGGAAGGATCTAAAAATACAAAATATATAGCAGGATATATATTAACCTTTGGGTCTCCCTAATTCTATTTATTCCCTTAACGAGAATATGGTCAAATACGAAGTTTAATAATGAAGTACCTAATTCATACTCGATAAAATATACTATGGACATATTTTTAATTTTCTTTAAAATCTGGGAAGGATTTTTTTTCATAGATGCAAGGAGGAGCGTGGGGAGGAAAGACAGATTCCTGTAGGAGGCGCAGTAGTGAAAGGGTTAAGAAACACTGATATGTGGCCATCCTTCGTGTCTTCCTCGTGTTAATCTTTCCAATCCGAATCTTACTTGATGTGAAAGCCATTCACTCTCAACTCTGGACGTAGGGAAAGATGCAGGTGTCAACCATTTCTGCTTCACTGCATTATATATATGAACTTCTCCATGGGCTGGGCACCTGAAGGTGTCCAATTTGCTGCTCATAATCATTCTGCTTCACTGCTGAACTTCTCCATGTATATAGGCCTATATTTGTTTAGGTGTCATTCATCTCTGCTTCACTGCATATATTATATATAAGAATTATATGTATATATATTGGTTTATTCCCCAAGTGGTTTTATGGTTTCTTCGCTTTGGTATTTCAGAAATAAGAAATTAAAGATGAAGACAAAAGACCCCCTAAAACATATAAACATCAGCTTTCATACAAAGTTTTTTTAATCTTTCATGAACTTTTATCACATCATTGGGCTACTCACTCTTCTATGCTTTATATGAGGCACTAATGTAGACTATGACACAAAGTCTAGGGGCTACATTCATATTGTATATAGCTTATAAAGTCTGATTTGCCTTATCTTTGCTGTCTAGTAAAAGGGGTTAGGTAAAGTATTAAGAGTAGCTGTAAATACCTTAGCTCGATGAAAATAAGCACTGCCAATATGTTGCTCTTCGATATGTGATGGACATGTTCTATGTTGATTTTCGATCTGATTGTGTAATGATAATCATGGTTTCAAAGTTTTAAGAAAGGACATGTATGCGTTTTTCCCCGTCTCTCTCTCTCTCTCTCTCTCTCTCGTCTCTCTCTCTCTCTCTCTCTCTCTCTCTCTCTCTCTCTCTCTCTCTCTCTCTCTCTCTCTCTCTCTCTCTCTCTCTCTCCTTCTCTCTCCTCCCCCCCCCCCCCCTCATCATTCACATTTACAAACATTACTTCATAACGCTCATAAGAAACACTTTTCCTACACACCCTTCTATGCATTCTACTATCTTTTATTTGGCCATCCACTATTATAAGTCAAACGATCACAAAACACTACTTATATGACTTAAAAATTTCCAACTGACCTTCCAACGTTTAATTTCTAATGCCCTCGAAATGGTAGCTATGCAATGCAAGACTCATTTTATGGAATAGTTTGTAAGATTCGCAAAGTTCATCCGCCTAGTCTTTGTCGTTGAGTACTCCAAAGCAGAGGAATTCAGGAAAAAAAAACATGGGACATAGTCATCGAACTGTATATGGGAAAGTCTAGATCAGTAGCAACTCGAGGAGGTGTCATGGCGTCTGATTCTATTTTTGGGAAAAACGCACCTGGGGTTTATTTTGATGACGTCACAAAAGTTACGGATGCTTTGTGAATATGGTCGATCATTTTGGTCTCTTCAGTTTTCAAAAGGATGGAAAATAATGATTTTAATGGTTATATTTTCATAGAACAATCATCAAAACAGACGCCATGACACCACCTCGAGTTGCTACTGATCTAGCCTTCCCAAATGTATATACAGAAGTACATTTTTCAGCTCTGTTCATTTATTTTCTTTCATCTGCATGAACTGAAAAATACAGAGATTACCTTACATCTTGTAAACAGTGAGATTTTAGTTTATTCATCTCTTGTTAAATGTCACATCCTCACATATATATCGACAGCTGTTTAGCGAGTACATAGATCATGCATCGTAGGAAAAAAAAATCTGTTTTTCATAATCATTTATAGAACACAGCAGATTATAATGTGAATTGTAGGTGCAAAAACTTTTAACCTATTTATAATTTTTATATTCCATCTTTCTGCTCTTTACTTATGTATAATATTGTAAGAAAATGTATGTATATATTAAGCAATTACCAGCTTTTCTTTAATAAAGTATTAAATTCCACCTGAAATTTGTTTACCTGCCTTCCAATAGCTTATTTAACAACATAATAAAATCTACATAAACTCAAAAAGTGTTCTATGATCCCTTATAAACTAAACAAGTAATCTATGAACCCAGAACGTGCCTAGAGATGAAAGCAAGTAACTTATTATGAGATTTCTCAATGGAAAACAAGCTCTTTACTTACTATTGGGAGAATCATTTAAATAGAGTGAAAAGAATGGTGCATGCTCTTTATAGCATATGCATGGTGACATTTTATTTATTTATTTATTTGTTTCTTCTTCTACTCTTATTATCATTACTATTATCATTATTATTATTATTATTATTATTATTATTATTATTACTATTATTATCATTACTATTATCATTGTTATCATTGCATTTAATTCCATACATACGGTTATATATGAAAAAAATATACCTCGATAAGCTCAATAAACAGCTAGCCAATAAATTCAGACATAAATTGCATTACTTTACAAACGTCTTTCCTTTCCCCATTTTTTCTTCATTTGTGTACCCAATTACAAGAAATAACAAACTGGCAACTCATTCTGATCCGCCAATTTTCTATATTATGCTAATTAACTGACTCTTAACCCTTATGTTCATACTGATATATATATTTATGGATTCATATACATTATCTTTATTGTTACAGACCCCTTATTTTTTATTATTATATAAAACAGCAAATCAGAGGACACTAGAATTAGGGTTGAGTTGCCATATCTTTTTTTTCTGATATTTGACAGAGTATAGTATCTTTGTATATTTTCAATTGTTCTAAACATTTATGGATTCATATACATTATCTTTATTGTTACAGACCCCTTATTTTTTATTTATCTATAAAAACAGCAAATCAGAGGACACTAGAATTAGGGTTGAGTTGCCATATCTTTTTTTTCTGATATTTGACAGAGTATAGTATCTTTGTATATTTTCAATTGTTCTAAACAAGTGTATTTCCATGCTTGCTCTCTCTCTCTCTCTCTCTCTCTCTCTCTCTCTCTCTCTCTCTCTCTCTCTCTCTCTCTCTCTCTCTCTCTCTCTCTCTCTCTCTCTCTCTCTCTCTCTCTCTCTCTCTCTCTCTCTCTCTCTCTCTCTCTCTCTCTCTCTCTCTCTCTCTCTCTCTCTCTCTCTTTTCCTAGTTACTGCGACGATAACAGTTATGTGCCCATTTAATCGTATTTAAGGAGGCGATGGGCCTGGCAAACAATGTTATCATATCGTTGATGAGATATGAGGAGTAAAGTAAAGTATTATCTTCATGTTTTTACCTTGCGAAGGACAGCTGTATCCTGTATGATACATGACGTATCCTGTTGCCATATGTTCTGAAATGTTAAATATAGCAAACGTGTTGTTTCGGTTTTAGTATTTTTTGCTGTTGTTGTTATTTAACATTTTTGTACATACGGCACTTTTATAGTTAAGCTTTTTTTTTTTTTTTTTTTTTTTTTTTTTTTTTTTTTTTTTTTTGCTAGTTTATGCAATACTGTTTTCCTTAAACCCACAAGCATTACCGATGTACCAATTAAACCCATTAACTTTTTGAAACCTGTGTACCCAACCTCGAAAGCGTGTGTTATTTCTGAAATTAAGCTATGTGGATTAAATATAAGAAAACGGAAATGTTTATCACAGTGTTGCTTTAAACAGAGATAGTTTACACGTGTGAGATATAACACGCAATGATATAGACCAGTGTTGTCCAAACATTTTCGCCTATTGTACCCTATATTACCGTCTTGTAATCAAAATGTTTTCTTTAGGTTAATGCAAATAATATACTAATTATGAAAAGACTGCATTGCAGGGGTGATGGTCAATAAATTCGAATTTAATCAACGAATAGAAAAGATGATTTAATAACAAAATGCTTTAATAATACATAAAATGTTTTGTTTACGTATCCTTATGTTGCGGATCCCAGTTTGGACAACACAGAGATAATAGATAACTAATGAACGCAAATGTTGTTGTTTCATTGTATTATATCAGTATATAAAACGTAACCAAGGTTGGTTATTTGTATGCATTCTGCGTTACTGCTTATGCCATAGGGAGTATGTTGCCATTTCTTGTGAAAAAATGTATATATTCACTTCACTATAAGAATATTTTTTCATTATTTTAATCATGGTCACCATCATAATTATTCTTATCATTTCATTATCATTATTAACTTTATTTTTATCACAATTTTAAGTAAATGGAATCACTCGCAACTCTGACCTTGTAGATAAGCATCCTTAACACTGTCCAACAGTTAACCTCTTCCACAGATAGATGCGTATGGTATTCCTTTTATATAT